GAACAAACCCTGAACGCATCCGAGCGGTTCCTTAACCCTAAACCCGCGCACTCGTCTGACTTGTCGAGTGCGAGTGACAAAAAATCGCTAAACCCTCCTAGACCCTAAACCCCAAGCCCTGGTGTAAGAGTCCAAACCCTGGTGCAAGCAGGCGAGATCCTGGTACTCGACCGGCCGGTACTGCTTTCGGAGACCTCCTTAGAGTTAGAGGCCGGTCACATCGGTCCTCGTTGCGTGGTTTTTGGGTGTTAACGTTGGGGTTTGGGTTTAGGCCCGTTTCCTTTCTTTGATCCGTTCAGGGCTTTCTTGTTTCAGAGGGCTTGTTGGCTGCGCAAGGGGGTGGGGGGTACAAGAGGTGTAAGTCTCTGCTTCTTCTTCCTCCCATTTTGGGTACAGGGAGGAGGGAAAAGGGACTTACCTGACTTACCGAAACATACATAATAAAGGTTTGGTCAGTCATGGGCGTTGGGGAACAAGCAGCATAAAGTGCTTGCAGAAAGTTTAAGGCTTGAAGTTCTACTTTGGATTGTGTGCAGATGGTTTAGACGGTGAGGGTGTGATGGAAGTTGGTCGGCGCGAGGCTGAATTCGATGTGCCTAGGGCTGCCGAGTTTGGTTTCAGGATCGCTTAGTCAAGAGAGATCAGAATCTAGAGGCGGCAGAACTCAGGATGATGTGTTTGGGTACGTCGGTGTTTAAGGACATGCAGGGTTTCAACGATCCATTGTAGGGCCGGAATAATTAGTGATATGACCCCTTGTAGAGTCTGAAGTATAAGTATACCACAATCTGCTTCAAACATCCTTCTCTGATTATTAAGGTACCCATTCTGCCGAGACTCCTCCTGTCCGTTGTTGAGATACATGAGGAACTGACAGTTGGAGTGTCTTGCAAAAGCCTATAGCCCAAAGCAGACGTCACCAGGATCGCATGCAAGTCATACACGATGCCAGTCAATATCAACACGCCGGATCACCCAGCGAACTTTCAGCGAAAGAGAACCGCACAACGGTTCGGCCCCTTGAAGTGTTGAGCCCTTCAGCCGTCTTTGATTTGCAGCATTTGCAAGGCCCGCGACGTGGCTGCAGAGCACCAGGCACCCTAGGGCTGATATGTTACAACATAACGGAGCATAACATAACATCATACGTTGTGATATGTTGCGGGCCAGCAAGTGGGTTTGAAGGGTGGTGTTGCCGACTGATGACCGCAGTTTGCCTGCATGGTAGCCTTGTGACATGCCATTTTGACTAGCAGAGTATGTACAATATCGGAGGATATCAGTGGTTAAATACCGTTGCACGGGGTGGCTGCCTGAGTCAATTTGCGGGAGTTACTAGGAGTGTTCACCGCCACGTCCACATTTCATCTGCGTCGGTTTCTACTTGGGCTCATGCAAAGATGCGCGGGGAAACATAGCTGGATGTTGTCAGAACGTGTGTGTATGCGACCCCAAGACCCTAAACTTTGAGCGTCATAATTGCGTTGGCTGAGCAGTCCAATAGGTTCTCGAGTGAGTGTGAGAGTCAAATCCTTCGAGGCCGTTCGGCTCCATTCGACGCCGCCACACCCGCAGGCACCAAAGGCCGGGACTTGGGCCATTGGAGGGGTTGTCAGCACTGGTGCATTGTCTTATTGGTATTCGGGTTTTCAGGGTTTTAGGTTGGGTTGTGTAGAGTTCAAGGAAGCCTCATAGCGTTTAGGGTTTAGGGGAGAGTTCCAGGAAGCCAGAGGCGAATCGAGTCGTGGCCCTTTCTTCGCACGCACAAAATCTTAGGTCGGAGGCAGACGGGAGTTTCCGAAAATAGGGGACCCTAATCTAGTACCCGTAATAGTAAGGATCCTTAATATAAGGACCCCAAATAAGGTACCCCTAATTTTCGGAAACTCCCAGACAGGGTACAGAATCCATGAGAGTTGGCCCATGACCAAAGTTTCCTGAGCCATCCTTCCAGTACACCTATGGTATCCTGATACTACCCTTATAGTACCCTTGCAATACCCTTAAGGTACCGTTGTAGTACCTTTTAGTGACCTTATAGTACCCTAGAAGCTGGAAGCACCGCCCCGAATCCATGCAGAATTCGCTGCTCAGGTGCCGCCACAGCCCGAAGCGCCCCAAGCTCCACAGCTCCTTGTCGGATGCTGTCCTTTTCCTTTCTGTGTATCGGTGGTCAAATTAGACGAGAGGAGAGTATGGGTGGGTAGGCATACTTGTTCAAGTGTTGTGGTTTACGCGTGGCCGAAGCGTAGTACTCCCAGGGAAGCCGTATAAGCGATGCCGAAGCTGGATGGCCAGCTGCATGCAGATCGTCTCGCGGAGAGTCTAGCCATCTTGGAGACTGCGGAGACCAAGTGCCGCGATTGTCGGCGATGGGCGCAAGTTTGCTCTTCACGGTAGGGAATGGTTCCATGCAAGTTGCTTGCTTTGTTGTCCAAAAAGCTTGCCATGAAAGACGAAGACAAGCGAACCACCGACACTCCGGAGCTGAGGAATGTTGCAATGAGCCGGGCCCTTAGTCGCTCGCATGCAGGGCGCGGCGCCGATCTACGCGGGACCTTTGTAGGATGTGCTGGCAGCAAAGGATGAGATAATACTTGTCATACGTGTGAGAGAATTTTAGCGATACACATGCGGCAGAGTGAGTTGATGTCATTGATTCATGTCTGACGGCCGCAGTTTTGTCGCAAGCACCATGAGCACTACCTAACCCAATTCTATCGAATTCTCTGCATGCGGTACTGGCAGGATGTTTGGGGGACGATGAAGATGGGAATGTTGCCGATGATGATTGCTGTTGCCATGGATGCCAATTAAGTGGTCATCTGCCACACGCATTTGATGTTTTCGTCCTCCCCCTCGGTGAACTTGATAACTGCTCCTGTTTGTTTTGATCTGTGTTCATTTGCCCATGCTTGTTTTACTGAGCATTTGGTCATATGGTCTCTGGGTATGAGAGTATAGTGCGATAGAGACTGTGACTGTGAGGTTGCTTCAAGTTTAGATTATTATAATTAGGGTAACTATACTTATAACCCCAATTAGGGTACTTATAACCTTACTTACTAAGTTCCATGATTTAGATGTTGCTCCCTAAACCCTAAACCCTAAACTTTCCTCATCTTCTGCTTGGGGCGGGGATTGGCACTCTGAGGCCTGGAGGCCCAAGGCCCCTTGTGGCGAGGGCCAGGCGACACCGACGAGGCTGGCTGAAGGGTGTCGCTTGCTGGCGCATTCGGGAGGCATGATGTTTTCATAACCCTAAGCCATAAACCCTAAAACCCGAATCCAGAATCCGGAATACCCGAAATGAAGCTTCTCCCTGATCTACAACACCGAATCTCGAAAGTACCCGTGCCGAGCAGGCGTTGGGGAATGGTTGCTGCGAGCTTAGTGTTGCTGCTCTTCTGAGCTGTGGTATTTGCTCTGCGACAATACCGGATGAGAATTTCGGCTATCGCGGGACGGGGCAATCGTGTTCCATGTACAGCGGAATCAGTAGCCCATCCCTCTCTCCCCTGCCGCTTTCGCGATACGTCGCTGATCGAACCAAGGTCCCGTCGTCAGCAGTTTCCTTCCACATGGATGTGGAAGACTTGGCTTTTCGACTTTTGCGCTCTGCTGCAGTAGCTGGCATGAGATGTATTTTTGTGATCAAATGCTGAAACTGAAAACGGTCCTGGCTGAGGCCCTGGACGAAAAGTGCACGGATTGAAATCGTTTCCAAAATTCCGCAGACCGAGCTCCACAAAGCAAGCAAAACCTTCAGATTACCTTCAATACATTAAACCGAATGGGCTGCAAATTTTCGATGCAGTCTTGTAACACGTAACACAACTCACAAGGATACTGACCCGGATACCCTTTGTTTTGATACATGACAAGCTTAAAGCCGTAGCATGCATCAGTACGCCGCCCCAATAATGCGATCAAGCTTAACCCTAATTGGGAGTTTCCGAAAATGGGGGACCCTAATCTAGTACCTTAAATAGTAGGACCCTTACCCTAAACCCTCAAAGCCTGCACCGCCATATAAGCCCCAGAATGAAATTTGTAATTAAGCCTATAATCCCGAAAGACCACCTGAAGATATTCATATCAAGAATATAGGAATAACAATGACATTTACTAATTAATTAGAATAACACCAATACTAACATATGATTCAATAGTAGCAGCTGTAAACGAACTCTTGGAGGCCGACAAGCTTGCTGCTCACTGGCCATGCCTGTGGAGGATCCAAGGCTTTCGCAGAGAGCCGCTGCTTTGAGGGGCTCTTGAACAGCTTCGGGTTTTGGGTTTAAGTGGTTTAAGGGTTTAGGGTTGAGGGGTGGCAATCGGCCTGGATTGTCGGGGGTTTAGGGATTTGAGGGTTTAATTCGTGCTTGGCGCTAGGCAAGTCTGGTTTGTTGGGGAGTGTAGAGTTTAGGGTATAGAGCTTGGGATTCTGGGCAGTAGGGTTCAGGCTTGAGGCTGCAGCCGGTTATCAGAATTCATGATGTGTTGAGGACATGTGGTAGGTTTTTGGTTCACTGGCTTGCTGGCAACTCTTGCTTGAGTTCCCGCGAAAGCCTTGCGGAGCGGGGCTCATGCTGTCAGAATGTCCTGCATGTCCTGAAGCTTCCACAGCTGATGCCTTGAGTGACAGGTCAGACCTGTCAATCTTGCACGAGGTGCTCGAACAAAAATGAAGACAGTATCGAAGCAAAGAAGACCTGGGAAACACAAGACACTGTTCACCTCGCTGACCCAGACCCTCACCGCACAGTTTGACACTCATCTACACCAACAGCCAGTAAGTGCCCCAAGTAGAAGCACACCTTAAACCCTGGACCCTAGCAGCCAAAGGTAGAATAAGAAACAAGCGTGAAGCCTTAAACCTCACAAGTCGAAACCGTTGATAAGCCCTCTAGACTGAATCTTGAACACCCAAAGTCTAAGTACAACCTTATTCTCCTTCAACACTCCGAAGCTGCGGCTCCTCTGGCCTCCATGGAGTCATGGCCAGCTCACCGGGCACGGGCGCGCCGGACATCAGGGACGAAGTGGGCTCTGGTATGTCTTACTCCCATAATGTTATAGGGGCCTCAGTATCATTATACCAATTCTTTTTTTGGCGTTCCTTCTTATAGTTATCCCATAATGTAGGGGCCTCAATGATTACACCAATACTTTTTTGGGGGTTCCTTATTATAGTCATATACTATAACAGGCCCCCTAGACCCTATTCTAATTGTTAGGTGTCAGTCAGATGCAGTCATGGTGACACCAAAATCCCTTCGACGTCAAAACTGCCTCGTAGGTCTGAATAGTCGTGATGGCAGCCCTCAGGCAGACCCGGTTTGCATAGCCAACCCTGAGGGTTCTTCGCATGAGTTTCCTGTCTGCTCCCAGATGCAATTTAAGCCACGTGTGATCTCGGAAGGACAAAGTAGCAAACGAATCTCAAGCCTACCCAAGGGTGGGTCATGACTCAGCTTTGATGTGTTTGGATGTCGTGGCTTTTGCCCCTGCACCACTTCAGCTTTGCAAGATTCGGCCACGGGAAGTGAGCCTCATCGTTGGTACCCGATTCCTGAAGCTAACTTCGTCCACGTCCGTTTCAGGATCTCGGCTTCAGCTCCAGAATGTCAGGCAGATGCAAACCCATGGAAAGCCCGGTCATCCCTAAACTTCAAACCCTCTTCAGCAACCTAAACGGACCTAAACCCTGAACCCTAGATTAATTCACCCAAGATACCCTGCAATGCGGGCCTTGTCTTGCTACTAGTATGTAGCAGGGAAAAGCATTAAATCGTCGCAGGACCTCCAGTTCGTCCTGGACATCCTCCAAGCCCAGAATGGTTGCGCGGAGCTCCAAAGCTTCCCGGAGCTTTCGAGATTGGGGGTTTAGGATATGTTTGTGGTATAGAGTTGGGGGTTTTAGAATTTAGGGTTGGTCCTGCATTACAGGGTTTTCGAGGTTTGGGGGTTCTCACACCCCAAAACAACGCCTCGAACTTCCACGAACTATTTTTAAACGGGACGTACCACAAAGTACTAGAAGAAGAAGCAGCAGCAGCATTAGCAGAAGTATCACTAGTGTCAGCATCAGCAGCAGCAGGAGTAGTAGTTGTTGTCGTCGTCGTAGTGCAGAAGTAGTGGTAGGGTGGTGGTAGGGGTAGTAGTAGTAGTAGTAGTAGTAGTAGTAGTAGTAGTAGTAGTAGTAGTAGTAGTAGTAGTAGTAGTAGTAGGAGTAGTAGGAGTAGTAGGAGTAGTAGGAGTAGTAGGAGTAGGAGTAGGAGTAGGAGTAGGAGTAGGAGGAGGAGGAGGAGGAGGAGGAGGAGGAGGAGGAGGAGGAGGAGGAGTAGGAGCAGGAGTAGGAGTAGGAGCAGGAGTAGGAGTAGGAGTAGTAGGAGTAGTAGGAGTAGTAGGAGTAGTAGGAGTAGTAGGAGTAGCACTAGAAGCAGGAGTAGCGGTAGCAGTACCGGTAGCAGTAGCACCAGCAGAAGCAGTAGCAGCAGCAGTGCCGGTGTTAGTGCCATAGTTCTAGAACTACCACTAGCCGCAGTGCTAGTGGTAGTTAGTGGTAGTACGAAAGATGATGTTTAGTTGGTCGGCTGCTGATTGTATTGTCTTCCGAGACGAAGTTTCTGTCGCTGTTGAAGTGACACAGCTGCCGAATTTGCATTTGCGACAGGGTTCAGTCCGACCTCATAGTCTTGTTGAAGGGGCGGAATAAACGCCAGAGGTTGCGATTGGCCTTAACTTCACCGATACAGGAACAAGAGCTCTTCCTTCATGATGGGTTCAGGGAGCCGTTGCTGATTTCCAAACAAGGGCTGCAGAACAGGCACCAGCAGTGCACCTTGGCCCTACTTGTACTTAGGCTTCTTTTGACTTTTATCGGTGCAGGCTGCTGCCAATGGAATCACTATAACATGAGACTCCCCAAAACGTAGGGCCTGCGACGCAAAGGTTGGGGTGCTGCTGCTCTACACAACCTCACGGAGGACCTTGTGTTTTCTGCGTGTGTGTGCGTGCGCAAGATAAGATCTGAAGATTTGAAGTTCGAACCCGATCGATGTTCCTCCTTAGGATTCTTTCTCCATACTTGAACATCAGAATATCCATAGGCCCCAGAGTGGTTCCCTTTTGGGATTACCCTCTAGGATTCTACATATGAACCCCAACAAGGAACGACTATGGGACCTATGGGTATACCCCAAAGCCCCAAAACTCCATTAAGGCCTTTCAGAGACCCCTGCTATAGGTATACCCCAAAACCCCAAAACTCCGTTAAGGCTTCTCAGAGACCCCTGGAGGAGTCCGGTGCCGAACTCCGACGCGAAGCCTTGGAGCTCGGTGCCTGGGAGCCGGTGTCCGAGAGGGATCGACAGAGGGATGAAGGGTTTAGGGATCAGGGGTTTAGGGGTTTCGGGGTTTTAGGTTGAGAGGGTTTAGAGATCAGGGCTTTAGTGTTTAGGGGTTTAGGGTTCAGGGATTAGGATTAGGGCGTAGGGATGAGAGGCAATAGGGTTTCATAGGGTTCAGGGAGCAGGGCTAGACGGCTAGATTTGAGTCCAGTACCAAATAAGGGATCAGGGGCATTCGGTTTGAATGCTTTTGAATGCTACGTCCTGATTACAAACTAAATACAGGGTGACCGTATATACCTTGCATAGACCCTCACCGTTCAGCGAACCTTTGGTCCTTGGCCTACTTCGTGCGTACTATGTTTTAGTATACATTGTTATGTTATGTTATCGTAAGTAAGCATAGTATTCCACACTATACCTTTGATTTAATATAATTAGCATATTTGAACAGCAGCCCTTTGCCGTTGGGTAGCTCGCTGCAGCCCGAGGCTGGTACTCGCTGCAATGAAGCAGCACGCCGAGTCCCCCTCCGTCCAGGCGACATGCTTGGGTTTAGGGTCTAGGGTTTACTTGTAGGGCTTGGGGTTCCGGGTTAGGCTTCAGAACCCCAACCGCGTGGATCTCCCAAAACAGCCATTCCTGGGCAGGAGTGTGGGCTTGCAGCCATAAGTGGCTTTGCGAAGGACTGCTTGGCTGGTTGCATCCCCGTCAGTGGTGATATACGCATTCATCAAATTAATAAGTTTCAACAATTTCTTCGTTTATTTTGCATCAACAAATCATCGACAAAACCATCCAATCATCGCATGCATCACCACCCATCATGTATTCATGCCAGTGCGTCCCTGCAAGAACCTCATATTTATGGCATTGGTCTTCGTCAGTTCGCTGCACTCCCCTTGTGTGAAGATTGCTCGGTCTCTCCGTTGTCAAATATTCGGCAGCGGCTCTACTGTACAAATAAAAATTCTTATTCCTGCTAGTAGTAGGTAGTATTCTTAGCGTCAGTAGCAGCCGAACTCCAGGATGCAAGCACGAGGCAAAAGACCTCGGAAGCTTCAGCTGTTGCCCTGGTGGCGAAGGCGATGAAGGCTCCGCGGTGTGGGACAAGATGAAATCCTCAGTGCTCAGGTCATGTTACGTTAAGACACAGGCCCATAATAGCCTCAAATTTGGTTCGGTATTCGCAAGAATGCCGATAGATTAGTTTCTGCTAGCTACTTGTATTCCTGTTAGTGTTGATGCAAACCCTTACTCATTTGCATTGGTATTCGCATTGGTGCCAGTGTGGCTATAAGTTTGATTGAAGTTGTGTATGTATGCAGAAGAGTAACCCCGTGAGTTCGGTACGTACTTAGCAGGGGGTTCAGATCCATTACAGTCATTCGAACCAGGCTAGAAGCTGAGTGGAGCAGGAAGCACATTGCACAACAACGCCCATGGTAAAATTAGTATCGGCATCAGCCTTTGTAGCGGCATCAGTCCTCGAGTGGCAGCAGCAGGAGCAGCTAGTCGTAGTAGTAGTAGTAGTAGTAGTAGTAGTCGTAGTCGTAGTCGTAGTCGTAGCAGCAGCAGCAGGAGGAGGAGGAGGAGTGGTAGTAGTAGTAGTAGTAGTAGTAGTAGTAGTAGTAGTAGTAGTAGTAGTGGTAGTAGTAGTAGTAGTAGTAGTAGTAGTAGTAGTAGTAGTTATAGTAGTTATAGTTATAGTTAGTTGTTGTGGCAGCTTTTGCTGGGGCCTGCAAGCTTGCGGTCGCAAGACATGGCAGGTTTGCCTCAAAATGTTTGTGGCTGCCGTGGTTTCGGGCAGCGCAGTTCGAACGATGTAGTCGGTGTTGAGGGTTGTACAACCTTGCATCCCCCGCCCAACCGCCGAATCAGGCTCGAGAAGGGGGCTGTGCTCTGAAGACGTCTTGCTGTTGCTATCTTTCAACTTTTCTCCTTGACTACAACCCTGCAAAGCAGGCTCGTCCTATCTAGGTGGGTATATTATTGTAAACAGCATCACGTCGATGATATTATGGTTCTCTCATCTGAGATCCTTGTGTAGTCCTTGTGTGCAAGCCTGCAGCAAGAAGGTCCTGAGGGACCTGGCCGGCCAAACTCCAACAAGCCTGCGGAAACGTTTCCGAGAAGTGGAACTGTCTTAGAATGATAAGAATATGATTTGGGGCTATATTATATGCTATAAACCCAAAAAAGTATAGTGAACTGTCAACCAAAGCATCGTTTGGAGGATTTCCCCGCGGAGGGCGAGGTCCAGCGATGGGGTCTTGCGGCCTTAGGTGTGCCTTTGCTTGGAGGTCTATCAGAATTCGAGAGGGGTTCACTCTCGAAGGCTCCGCGGAGCTGGTAGTCAACATAAGAATCATAGGTTGAGGAGTTCTTGGGGAATCCTGCAAACCTTGCATGCGTGAACGGAGCCTTTTTGCATTCGGAAGGTGCAGGCGCTTGAAGGCACCCATTGCAAGTTTGTGGCGTTTTATTTCCATTGGCAACAAGACTTGTAGTCATGTCACCCTCTACCAAGGAGCTGCTGCGACACGGGGAGGCGCTTCCCAAGCAAATCGTGGAGATCCTCGGATTGCAAAGTCGAGTGTGTTTGGGGTCAACACCATCCGAGCTGCCACCTCGCTGTCTTCAATATCTACCACGACAGCCGCTTTATTGGTACGACGGTACGACTAGGACGAGGGATGAGAAAGCCGGAAGAAGAAAAGGCTCAAGAGGAGAAGTATCTGAAAAGTAGTTGTTGTTGCCGTTGCCCGCATGCAAGTATGTACGGTTTTTTAAAGGTAGTCCTCTCGTGGTGTGGGGATTGTTTTGGTTGCTTGTAGTGATGCCGGTGCTGATGGCGTTTCCGTTTTGATCTGTCGGTGCACTTTCGGGGAAGGTTTGTAGCCGCCAGCAGTACTGCTCCAACAGGCCATGCTAGTTCTGAGATCCTGCCTGCACGACGTACAGCTCAAGAGAACATCATTTTGCGATGAGACCCTTTTAAACTGCAAAGTGTTCAGGCAGCCTCAACTTGTCCTGACGAGCCAAAGCTCGGCAGTTCGTGTGACTTTGGAACGCAAGGTTGGGTTAAGGCTAAGGTGCAAAAGAGTTTACAATCCATAGCATCTTTTGAATGATCACACTACAACATACTCGTAATCATCCTCACTTACTTCAATGTGGAACATGGACTGTTGAGCGAGGACCGGATCCTTGGACCTGGCTTTGGTAGCCTTGCAGCTTCATCCTGGATCTGCGCAGGTGCCCTGCAGGAAGAAGCCAAGTAGAGTCAGCAACAAGTTTCCCTTATTATAGTGCCTAACTAGGTACTGCGTCACATACCCCAAAACCCTGTTCTGAATTTCAGACCCTGACATAGAGCATGAGTCTGACAGATCCCCGAGCAACCTTTCCGATTCGACTGGTGGCCTCTTAGTAACCTGGCCCTAAAGGGTTTGCGAGTCGAAAGGGTTTTAGGGTTTACATGGGGATCCCAAAACCTACTGTTTTAAGGGTTATACCCTCTGATTAAGGGGTCATAACCTACTCTTTTCGTAGGGTTTGGGGATACATGTAGGGTAAACCCTACTAAGATCCCTTTATTATGGATAGTGCAGGATTTATATCATCAACCGTAAGATCCCTTCGCCGCGTAAGAGGGCTGCACCCAGGTTCAAGCTGCAGGGGCGGCCTTGCTTGGCCGTTTTGCGCTGCTGCCGCGACCACCAGAGGTCGCATAGAACTGGCTTTGGGTTAAGTGGGTTAAGTACGGGTTTTAAGAGGGGTTTAGGGTTAAGGCTTTAGGGGATGTTGCTCATATGTGCATCCCCGAGGTCTCCTAAGGTGACTGAGGAAGGCTTTGCCAGAGAGCTTCGCTGCCGGCATACACTCCAAGTCCGTGCTTAAAAAGGGGATTATCCAACATTCCGAATCGCGCAGAGATGGAGCTCGCGTTGTCGTTGTAGACGTTGGATGCTCTGCTGCTTGCTTAAACAATTAGTATAGCGTGGACAGAGGGTGGTTGTGACGGTTTTTGTCAGGGGGCGCAAGTGCTCCGAGACAGGGATCCATGTGCTATGTTGACCGGTCTGACCTGCCCCTTTGCTACTGAGTGTGCTTTTTGTGTCAGTGGTATGTTGGACTGAGCTCTTTTGACCATCGGTTCTGCGAGTAGATACTTCTTTTGCACTGCATGGCTCGAGCCCTCAACCTTAAGATCTTAAAATCGTATGTCCTCAAACCTGAAACCCTAGACCGGCAGCCTTAGCTTGGACTTCGTGCAGTTGAATAAGAGAGCCCTTTGTGGCAGAAACCCCTAGCTCTTGTCAGTCCGACACCGAGCGAAGCATATGCAGGTGGCCACTGCTGGGGCGCTGACTTCGGCTAGCCTGGGCCTGGTGCCTCTCCTTCAAAAACGGGACTAGGAATATGAGATAATATACTAAGCTGTATATACAACTTTACATACCATGCATTGCTCATTTATCGTCTATTTATCTATCGATCTCGCTCTCACACACTCTCTCTCTCTCTCTTTCTGCTTGTCTCTGTCTCTCTCCCTCTCCGTCTGTTTGTCTGCCTGTCTGTTTGTACGTATATATGCATGTCTGTATGTGTGCATGTATATCTCTGTATAGTACACATGATGATACTTTTTATTATGTGCCCAATGTATTTGTGTATGTGCGGATGGATGGACGGACGGAGGGACGCAAGGATGACGGTGATGGTGATGATGATAATGTTGGTATAAGCACTATAAACTGCAACATATCAGTCTTTCGAAGAGAAGCTTCGCGGGAAGGCTAGCCTCAAGGACGCAGATCTCCAACTGACACATGAGTACGACGTGACACCTTTTACCTCTACAAAGCCTCAGGTACTTTAGATGGGGAGCTCGGATTTTGGGTTCAGGCCAGCACAAGGGTAGTCTTCGATGGTCCGACTTGGGAAAGAGCGTCGCTTCTGGGCCCAGCTGTCGTCAAGAAGTTGCCCTTGTAAGCAGAGAGTGCACCCGACCAAGATCTCGTTCATGAAGACAAACCAGGCCACAGCATGAAGACTATGCTAGCTGTCACTTTGCCCATGCGCGTGGAGCCTCATAAGGTCCTTGCGGCCATGCACGAGCATTCTGGCGCCGTGGAAGTGCAGGCATTGTCATTATGCAGTTGCAGGTTTGTACTGTTTGGTGCAGTGTTTACCCGGACCCAGAAACACTGGTTAGTGGCAGCTTCCGGTTTGCGCGGCACGCTCAATACCAACATTCGCCCTGGCTGGACCATCTGGACCCCACATCGTCTAGACATGGCGAGCTCGTCAGGATAGCGATCCTATGCGAGGTCCCTTGGTGCTGGCCTGCACAACTGGCAATTAACATGACAGGGGCCCTGAAACCCAAAAGACTGGATCCAACCGTTTATGTGGCCTAGACGGTATCCAAAAGACGGTCGAATTGATCTCCAAGCAGAAGATGAACCAGCGTCTAAATCGCATTCTTTCTAAACTGAGAGCTGCGCAACTCCCCACCTAGTTATACAAGTATAATTACTAATCTTTATTACATATCCCAACACCATGTTCCTATTATTAAGGCCCTAAGATTAACCTTAGTGGCCTTGCTGGGTTTGGGGATCAAGCGAGATTGTCGGAAGGCGTGTGCTTGCGCCTGCGTGGGAGCCTTTGCATTGCGTGGGACCGCGGAGTCGCGGCAAACTCTGAGGCTGGGTTTCGCAGAGCCCCGAGGCATGGTTCAGATCATGGTCCAGGGCTTACCATGGGGATCCAAAAACCTACTGTGTTAGGGGTTAGACCATGTTAGACCCTTTAATAATTAAGGGGTCATAACCGACCATTTTGTAGGGTTTGGGGATAGGTAGACTCTAGGGTTTCCGGGGAGACCTCGTTCAAAGAGGGCGGATGGGTTGAGTTCATGGGATCCGAAATCACATCATTGTTGAATCTAGTTTCCCATTGCAGGATATTGCAAGACTAAACGAAATCCCCGCGTGGAGCTTTATGTACCCCATCCCCTAGACTCGTCTATACACCCCAAATCTACGGATGGATCCCCTAACCCCTACACTGTATACACGCCAAACATCCCCCATCGGATTCTGCGAGTGTGAGAGTCGGAACCATGCATGTAGACTCGAAGCCCTGCAGGCAGACGATGGCCTTGGACTTCCTTGTAGCCGCCTTGAAGATCCTCGGAAAACAGCAAGTAGATGTCCGGAGGCAAGTGTTTATAGGGTTTAGGGATGTTTAGTGCAGTTTGGGGTCGAAGTTGTCCGGGGCTCCGCCGTTACAACGGATTGATCTTTCAGTCCGACTAGATCATGAACTGTCACAGAGAAAATCAGTTTGTTTGACCCTGCACCTGTTGAGTACTGTGAACTTAGACAGTGGGATTCTGTGTATGGTGTTGCCAATCGCGACTTTTTCAGCGTGTGTGCGTGATGCAAACCTTGTTACTTGCCAACACTTTGGCTTTGTGTTTGCACCCTACTCGGTGAACATACTGCTATAGAGCCCGGATCCATGCAAGATGCCACAGACACACTTGCAGTCAATGTGGCACTTGGGGTATTATCGGGTGCCTGGCGCTGGATGTACCCATGCATCCAAGGAACCATCCATCTTCCACAGCAGTGCAGGACAATTGGGGCGAGCTACATGTCCCCTCCTTTCTCACTGGTGTTTGTTTAGGCTGCACCCGGCAACCAAGCCCCAGCTCAACCCACCTCCGCGGTTCTGTGAGCAGTCACAGTGTCATGACAGCAAAACTTGTGCTTGTAGACATGTTTGTTGCAGAGATTGCGATACATACATACATACATACATACATATATATATATATATATATATACACATGTTTTGTTCTATTTTATATATGGGTGGTTGTCAAAATTATGGTCCCTTTTTGGGTCCTGATTATAATACGGCACCTAATATTTAGGGTACGCAAAAAGGGACCATAATTTTGACAACCACCTATATACATGTATGTATATCAATATTAATAACAAGAATAATTGCAGTAAACATAGTAATTTACTTATAGTTTAAGGCCCGGGCTGTGGCTTGGGTGCTGTCTGTTGGGCAGTTTCTCACCCTGACCATGCCATGGCAAACTTTGTCCGACTTTTAGTGGCACACTTGACGCTCCAACTTCAAAGCCAGACGGCCTGGGCTGTAGGCGTCTTAGCCCTGTACCCAGTTAGAAAGGATGGCAGTTAGGGGTACCCGGCAGTTCGAAGAGGCCTGGGTGCAAAATGAAAGGATGGCAGAAGAGAAGCATGATTCCCAGCTGATGATGGCATAGAGCCTGGGTTCAAAAAAGGAGTATGATTTGGGCCCGGTATGGTCTTTGCAAGAGGAGCGCGGGGCGTCTGCTCTCCGATCTGTGGCCATGGGGGCTGGAGCCGAACCGACGCGTGCCAAAGCTGTGCCTGGGATACCTTGATTTTACATTACTGTCGTATATTAGTAATACTGAACTCCAGGCTGCACGTCACCTGATTTGTCTGTTGCAGCTTTTAGGTAGTAGAGCGTCTGAATTTGCGGTTTGGCGTTTCGTCGGGCGGCGCTGGAGTTCTTGCCAGACAAGTAGAACATCAGTTTGCGAAGCGTGTGAGCAGCTTGGCTTGTTTCTTGATCCTTCTTGGTCTTGGCTTTCACATACGATGAGCCCTCGTCGTTTTCCTAGTTGGGGACTACGCACTTACTGTGATAGGGTTCGGTTCATACAGCCCGCCCCCGGGACTGTGAATTGATTGATTGGATGCTGTAGCCACGACATGTATCCAAGCCCTGGACCATGGAGTCATGGCAAGTCCAGAGGTACGCCTGGGGGTTGTTCCACTGCTGGTCGCAGCACTGCATGGCCATGTCGCCCGGACAGCACAGAACGATACCTTTCGTCGGTGTGTCACTCTTTCATCTGAGATTTGAGAGGGAGAAACTGAATCAGTGATCCCTAAACTCTTTGCCTTCTGTGGCCTTAAAACATGTTGGCAGCCTGAATATTATGTCGAGGTGGACACGGCCACTGTTCTAACAACTTCGCTGGCAGCGCTGCTGTGCCTCGCCACCAAAGTGCCTGATGCAGAGAAATCTGACGAGGACCACATTCTGATAACGGCAGAGACTCCTTTCTGCTGCTGTTGAGTGTAGTTGGATGTTCGGTTGTTCCGAGATGATCTGACTAGCCATGGCCAGACAGACAAGGGGCTGCATTTCTTTCTGCCGCTGCCTCACAGACTGCAATGTAAGGCACAAATACAGACCTGGCACCCCTCCAATTGATTTGGCAATCCTAAGCGGACTTGAGATCTGTGATACATGATCGCCGTGAGGACGCGGAGTCCATGATGGAGCCTCCGCTCACACCTGCCGAATGTGACTCTGCGATCTTGCTGCGGTTGCTGGAAACCCATGCGGACCACTCGAATATCCAGGATAGCACTGTGTGAAGGATTGATTCTTGAGGTTTGGCACAGCTCGGAAGCGAGAGGCAACAGCGCAGATTCTGGTACACTGGAGTGCTTTCTGTACATACACACACACACACCTACGCATACATACATGCACATACATATACCTTATATACGCATATACATATATATATATATATATATATATCACATATGTACACAGCTATACGAAACCTTTCCGATCCCTTCCAGCTCGAAAACAGTGCCCTGGGTTTGAGCAAGTTTGTTTGACCAGTCAGTTTTTCGCCGATGGCACGGTGGATTCAGTGATCCTTTGATTCGGCAACCTCGAAATGCATGGGAATGTAGTCTTGTAAACGAGGTCAGGTCCAAATACTTCTCATTTGCAACTTAAATAAATTTGCAGTCTGTCCGTGCAGAGCTCGCACAGGAGCTGGCACTTTCACTTCTTTGGGGAAACCTCGCCGGCGGCAGCGAGCCTTCCGCCGCTCCGAAGAGAAGTTGGCCGGGAGTGGGTTTTGGGATTTAGTGTTTTGGAGTTTTGGCTTTGAGGGAGCAAGGCCTTGATACACTTATATAAGCAGCTATTGGTTGTGTGTTTGGGACGCAGCATTCGTTGTCAGCCTCGAAAGGCCTGTACTTTGCAAATCTCTGCTTCGCACTCTCGCACTCTTCAGTTCAACTTTCCGGTGGACAAGTCTCAGTTTCTTCTGATGGCTTTAATCTTCTGCTCACCAACAGCATGTGCAGCATGCTCCCAGGATGGATTCGCGCGCCCAGTGGCTTTAGCATCCAAGGCTGCAGGGGTTTGAACTCCCGAACATGCGCATCACCAGCTCTCAAGTGCTCATACGGTAAGATATGGTAGTTCAGTTCAAGCTCATGTTCGACGTCTGCAGGACCCTCCAAATGTCACGAAGCCATGCGGAAATGAAAGGATCAGCAGACAGAGAGGGCCGGGGTGACTGTCGATGCCTGTTAGACGAATTCGAAGAAAGCCAAGAAGGTTCATGCCCATGAAGCAACACCACATGTGACCTTATGCCTTGCATTGCAGTGTGTGCGCAAAGTTCGTATAGGTTGGTAGTGAGGTTGGTGCGCAGGTGTAGCTGCCATATCTAAACGGCTTTTACGAGTCCTGCCTAATAGGAATGACCACATACAAGTGGTACAACACGCAATGTCCCGTATTGTCAAGATACTTATATGCTGAGCCCATGTGTATGGACGGACGGCTGCGTGGGTGGGTGGCGGGTGGGAGGGTGTCTGGCTGGCTGGCTGGACGGATGGATCGATGGATCTGTGCATCAGTACATGTTGTTTTCGAGCACAACAGCAGGTGAAAAAGCTATAGTCTGTCGGTTTAGGCTGCACCAAGATATAGTATGAATCATATGAATCCTACATACAAAGACGTCTGATACCTACAGATACATGTCCGTATGTGGATATTGGCCATGCGCAAATCAGCCATCTGTTCGCTGCTGAACCGGAAATCCGGGAGCCATTTGAAGCCTGAAGCCCTGCTACCTACAATTCGAAGCTGCA